CCCTACGGAACCGTACTTGAGACGCCATGAGATTTGCACTGTCGTAGCTGAGATTATTAGTAGGCAGGGAAGCACAATAACGAAAATCTTCGGCGGACCACACCCGTGCTTCGTCGACCTCACCAAGGCATACGATTCGGTGGACCGAGACCTACCGACAGTTGTGGGCGCCATCCGCAACTGATCGTCATATGCCCGGCCCAGCTCAAAAAAAGAGATTTTTCAAAACCATTTTTTTTATCGCTTTCAGAACAGGTCAAAGAACGTTCAAAAAATGTACAAAAAATATTGGTTCTGGAACCCCTTCAACAAAAAAAATCGACGCATTCCCGACCGATTGGGTTTTTGTTCACCTCGGCATTCGATTCCGCTTGGCCGATTTAGGGGGGGTAGAGCCACGTCAGAAAGTTGATCAGACAAAAACTCAGGTGCGCCGGTCGATTTCACGAAAACGAGATTGTTGTGCTGAATCCTTCAGGAATACGTCAATTTCCCACGCCTGTTTCTCAAAACTAAGAGCGAAGTGGACCATTCTGGTTCAAGATTCGTGATTCCCACCCCAAAATTACCCGCTACTGAGACTTACAGCTCTTAGAACCGGCTTATTGAGGTTTCGAGGGGAGGGGATGGTAGCCTTCCATCCCCGCCTTTTTCGCGTATTGGGATAGCTGTAACTCGGTGCCATCGATGAATTTGGAAAATCTGACGACGGATTCGCAACTCTCCACCCTCCCTTACCCTATGCTGAAATTTTCAGCCCAATCAGAGCTATTGAAGAGGGGGGGGAATTTTTTCGGGCCATCCCCGCTTCCTGGCGTTTTGAAAGTTTTTCCTAGTGGAAACAACAAAACTGAATGAAACCCAGGTACTAGACACCTATTTTCCCTCCAAACCTGTACGGGTGGTGAAATCGAGCACTACCAACACACGAAAAAAAAATTCAGACCTTAGCCGGGGATGGTTCATCACCATCCCCCCCCCAACAAAAATTCATGACGGTCAGTTGCGGATGGCGCCTGTGGTACGTGCTCCGACGCTTCGGCGTGCCCCCGAAGATGCTGGCGGTCATTCGCCACTTCCACGAGGGCATGAGGGCGGGCGTCCGAACGGACAACGGGCAGTACTCGGAATGGTTTGACGTGGGCCAATAAGGCCTCCGACAGGGATGCAACCTGGCCCCGCTGCTGTTCAACTTGTTCTTTGCCGCGATGCTCATGGTTGCCGTGGCCGAGTTCGACAAGGACCCCAAGGTGACGGCGGACATGGTCAAGATCGGGACACAAGTGGAGTACACGGGCAAGAAGGGCAGGTCGGCGGGGAAGAAGACGACGGTGGTGACGGACGCGGAGGCCTTGTGGGCCATGCTCTACGCTGACGACGCGGCCATCGTCTCGCGCTCGCCGGAGAGT